TTTCAAAGGGCTCTTTACCCACTTGTTCAGTGCAGCATTGAAACATATTTATTACTAAAAAGTGTTACTTATTCCTGGTGGTAGCAGTCTTTACTCTTTATCAACATTATAGCTAGTATTACTTATCAGTTAGAATCTATTATCTCAAAAATCCGAATCTTAAGCTGTATTTACTATAATTAATAGTAACGTTTGACAAAAAACAGCTTTCTTTTTGAAGTGGCTCATAAAAGCTGAATTGAGAAATTTTAAAAATATTTATGACAATCCACCTACAACTCCCAATAAGTTATTTCAGCAGGAAAATTTCATAAAGCTGAGCTGAAGCCACAAATAAATGTGAAAAATCACAGCTGTCCAAGGTAGAAAGGTACGAATGTGGATCAGCAAAGCGGGCACTCAGGTGAAACGGTGACAGTAGCAGACTGCTTGCTCGCTCATCCCTAATAATGAAAGTGAAATTTGCTTTAGTTTAGTAGTTCTAATCTTAAAAAAAGGACAAGGAGATTTTTCAGAAAGAGATCACCTTGCAACACTGTAACCATGTATCACCAACAAAAAATTTAACACACTTGGACTCTTTTTAGGGTGAAAATCTTAGTAAACACTGCAGTTAATTTCCAGGCAGGTTATGAATTTCTCCTAAACAGTAATTGGGCCATTCTCTTTAATGAAATATAAATCATTACAGGTGCTTTTTACACAGAGATTTTATATATGAAACCTTTACTCAATTCGTTAAGATGAGCAAAAAGAAAGTGGAAAAATGATGGTGAGACTGCCACCCACCACCATTTGAATCTAAGTAACAGCGACTAAATAAATACTTTAGTGAAAAGAATCTACTTTTCTCTGAAACGTAACGTAATCTGAACATGTATTATACTACCGTTAATTATTTCTCACCAGTCACATGCTCAAGAATGCCTTTTATCCAGACTCGTGACTTGATCATAGTGATAGTAGATTGTCCTTTAGGCACAAGGGGAAAAAAAAACCATAAAAACACAGAAGATGCTATCCTAACAAGAAAATCTCAAAAAAAGTGGGGGGTAAGGGAACAGATGTTTTGTTTATACACAGTATTATAAAAGATGACATTCACCGGTTTAGAGAAACTGATGAATTTTCATTACTTTTACATTTATAAGACTAGCTAACTTTAACAGTTAACTTTAGATAAATCTACTTACATAGTACAATCAACTCACAAATACTACAAGGTTCACGATCAAAATGGCTACGATTTCCCCCAAAACCGAAACAGAGTAAAGCACAAGTCTTTGGCTCTCCTTTAAAGAAAACAGCAGGTTACCATTCTTAACCAGACCTTTGTTTGCCTACCAGTAGGGCAAATACCACATTTGTGCATCACTGAGTAATAACACCATTAGAAAAGGCAACTTCACAGAAGTTATTGGCTAAGCGAATTCATTTGAATGCTCTGTTTTGAGGCAGCAAACTGTCACTGTAGCAGATTGGGGAGGGCAGTGGGTAAGTTAAGGGGAAATTGCAGGACAAAAAAGGACCAAGAAAAAAGAAAAGACATTCATAGAAAAACTTAGGATTAAACTTTGAGCTGGTAACCTGAAGACCTACGGAAAGTCTGATGGAGTTATATACTCAAAGTAGCAAATGAGAATCATACCAATTTTCTGTCTTTTAGGCAAAGGAATAAATACATGGGAAAGAATAGGAGAAGGGAAGGGAAATAAGATGGGAGAAGGGAATCACCCACATTAATGCTTTACCAAACAAATATTTATACATTCTGATTAGTTGAATATTTGTAGTTGGCATTAGGAATAGTATCTTATCCTTTGAATAATATTACTAGAAATCTATGCTATAACTAATTGTCTTTTAATTAGGAAAGTAATAAGGAATGGATCTTTGGTCACTTCATAGCTATTGGACTTATCTTGTGACAATATAAATTAGGCAAAAGAATTATATGTAAAACAGGAAACCGAATCTAGATGCCTTATTCTCAGTTCTTCTACCTTTTCTAGAGACCTCTGGAAAAAAGAATAAGTCAAAGTACTTTTATATTCTTCACTATAACAAAATCCTGGTTGTGTTATTTAAGTAAGGGTAAACACAATGCTTATTACTCCTACCATAACCTTTTCAAAATTGTTCACATTCATCTGAGATATCTAATTCTTGCTTTTGAATTCAGTGAAAAGCAAATAAAGTCATCTTGAGAAGTAATATTTTAATAAGTAGAAAGCATAAAACTGTATTTCCTATCTGATTGGTTTCATCTCTTAACTGTCTCTAAAGAAACAAGTAAAATTAAAAAGCCAGAGAAAAATCACTACCTTTCAGATTTTGATTGGGGAAAAAAAAAAAAGCAATTAAAGAGTCAAGTAATTATGCTTAAATAGGACATTTACTCTTACGGGCTCATCATATCACAGATAAAAGGAAAAAAAAAACAAACAAACACAAAACCCCAAAGTTTGGGGGTTTTAGTGAATTCCTAAACCTACTGGTGAGCACTAGGAAAGCTGCAAGAATTTCCACTAGGTAAGGCAGAATAACCAATTTAAAATAGATAATGGGACGATATACCATTCTTCTGCTTTTCTACCCAACCAGGTTACCTCCACAGTGTGGGCTCTTGGAGGAGCACAACTAGAATTCAGGCTACAATTTAAGGGGCTTTTTTCCCCAAAAGAAAATACATAAAAAGAGAAAGATACTAGTTTATGTCAAGTCTACATAGTGGCTTTTCTGGCTTTGTTCAGAATAGGAATACTATATAAATTAATCCCTGCTCCTGCCTCCCTCACAAAATCAAAATGGTACAAGCAAGAACAAGTGTATTTAAAAGTAGAATAAGAACAAGAATAATAGAAATTGAGTTATTATGGGTTTCAACAGATACCCAAAATGAAACTTTACTTTTATTCTAAATGTTAACAAAATATTAATTCTCTTCCAATACCAGCATCATTCTGAGTTCTAAAGTGAACCAACTGCTTCTAAAATTTAGGAATTATCTGATATGTCCAAAGGAAACCCCGCCCAAATCTGCCTACAGAAGGTTGGAGACTAGTAACACTGTCTTTTATTGTCATGCAGAGAAATGAAAAACCTTGGGACTCTGCCAGACATACTAAAGTTTCCTTCCTTCTCCCAATAAACGTAAGTGTTTAACGTGTAAATGTAGGAGGGTTTTAAGGAAAAGTCAAAAAAGCAAACAAAAGCAATTAAAAAAAACCCAAAAAAGCAAAAGTATATTTTTTTTAAAAAAGAAGGAAAATGTATATAATCAATTGAAAGAATGCTTCACACCTTCATTCAGTGCTTCTACCTCCCAATCAGTCATTTTATCGCAACAGCTGCGCTCATGCGAAAAAATCCTTAAAACATACCCAATATATATACAGATATAGCTATGTATATATGTATATATATAATATATATATAAATTTTTATTTAAATAAAAAAGAAAGCTCGAATCCCAAGCCAATATGTGTATATCAAATCCTTGACCAGCCAGGTCTGTAGGGCATAATCAAATTCAATGTGAAATAGTATATAAACACGGTGCCTTGACTGGGCAAATTAAATAATTGCTACTCAAAAGAGTGTTCTGTTTGGACTCTCCTACTGGTAGGCAATGGCAGGACTGTATTACCCTTCCCACCCCACCCCCATTTGTTTCGGTTAACAGTGTGATGGACGTGGAGCTTAGACTGAGGTTGTTATGACCTCAGCAGGAGTTAAGGGTTAAGAAAATAAGAAACAAGAAAAATATAAACTCTTGTTTTTACCCAACCAAAGCAATGCAGTAACTTATTACATAACCAGTGCTTTCTGATTTAGTAGTATAATCCAGAAAGGGAAATTGAAAAAAATCTAGCAAAGAAAAGGATGCAGAGGGCAACTACGTAAAACAATCCCCACTAAACATGTTTTACGGGGCCTTAGTTAGGCATAGACATGTGGCATCAGAATATGTGCAGCAGAACTAAATAATAAAAAAAATCTTCCTCTTTTCAAAATTTTCATGAATTAACATTTTCAATATTGGAAAGCCAAGTCTATGGAAACCGATGTCAAGGTATTTCCTACCTACTTAAACTAATGATTCTGAGCAGCAACAAGCAATCAATTCACAAACTATCCTTAAGACTCAAGCAGGTCATATTTGCCAAATTTCTTTGAAACCAGGGGCTCTGGTATACAGGGATTTAACTTTATACTTTCAGGTTTTGAGAGTAAAATAAAAACATCCATTCAAATAATGTTGCTCTATTCACTGTATGTTCAAATCAAGTGTTGCAGTTTTAAAATATGGTTGACTGTCCTGGTTTCTGAGCATTCTATGTTTTCAGCAAAAGTTTAATTTGGAAAGCACAGCTCCAAATTCACAGCCATGAGTTGAACGCAGGTAATACACCAACTGTGTATTTTCAGTGCTAATTAATAAGTTACAGTTCATTCTCAATCTCCCTTTAAATCTAACTGAACAACTAAACAGTGAAATTGGCTCTCTCATGACATAAAAGAATGCAAAGGATCTTTAATATGGAAATAGGGACTTCAAAAATTAGTAATTATCTCTCTGAAAAGTTGAAAATAAGAAATAAAACCCTCCTAAACAAAAAACATTTTCAATGTCATAAGAAAAACATACCTATCCATGAAGCTCGTGATCCAGAAAGAAAAAAAAATTCCAAATAACAACTCCAGGAAAAGCTGATATGCTGCACATTTTCTAATAACTCAGTCTATTACTGTTTCTTTGTTTCTCAAGCACCAAAGAATTCTCTTTTTGTCTGTTTTAAGTTTATGGGGTGGTGAGAGTTGAACAGGATTGGGGGTAAGGACTGATACACTGGGTATGTAATAATACCGAAATACAAAGAGAAACCTACTTCATTAAGATCATACAATTAATCAAACAGAGTGTATATATAATATCTTCTTTTTTTTTTTAAAGCCCTGGATCCAAGGCGTCCAAAGTTATTAAAATAAAGTTCATTCACAGAACAAAAACAAATTTAATCTGAATTGCTTGCAGATACTGCTAATTTTCTTTTTCTTTAAATTAAAAATATGCATCAATGTGAACTATGTGCAGGGTTTGTTTTTAGTAGTGGTGTCTGTGCACATCGCCTCTGGTGCATTTCCCGGATTTCTCTGACCACTCTTAGAGAGAAAGTTTAGAAGTTATCCATTCTCCTACCCCTATGCCCTATAAATTGATTAGGAGCAGAAGATAAAAGTACAACTCCCCATATTTTAGGGAGCAGAACTGGGAGAAACTCCTGATTTCTGGGAGTCATTGTTATCTCCTCCTCCCTCGGGATCCTCTGATAGGTTCAGAGAGCCGGTCTTGTTTGATAGGAGGCTGATATTCTCTTGTGTCAAGGCTGATCCATTCGGTACATCACTGTTAACATTAAAAAAAAAAAGTAGTTGGAATTTTAATAAAAGAGAGAGAAAATGATTTAT